TCTCATGAACGACATCTTCCGGCCTTTCCTAGACCGATTTGTCATCGTGTTCCTCGATGACATCCTCATTTTCAGCAAGTCACTCGAAGAACACGCTCAGCACCTACGCATCGTCCTCGACACGCTTCGCCAACACCGCCTCTACGCCAAGCTCTCCAAGTGCACCTTCGCCCGTTCAAGCATCGGCTTTCTCGGCCATGTCATCAGCACCAAAGGCATTGCTATGGACCCCGCAAAGGTCTAGTGCCTTGCTGATTGGCCAGCACCACGCACGGTAGCGGAGCTGCAAAGTTTCATCGGCCTCGCCAAGTATTACCGGAAATTCATCTTCAACTTCTCTCACATCTGCGCCCCTTTGACCGATCTTTTCCGTCAAGGAGCTGTTTTTCAGTGGGGACTACCGCAGCAGACCGCTTTCACCGCAATCAAATCAGCACTCACCTCTGCACCGGTCCTCACCGTCGCTGACCCATCGCGCCCATACTTCATATGGACCGATGCCTCGATGTCGCCGTTGGTGCCATTCTTTGCCAAGACCACGGCCATGGGATGCAGCCACTTGCATTTGAGTCACGCAAACTTCAACCGGCAGAGCGCAACTACGCCACACACGATCGGGAGCTCCTTGCCATTGTCCACGCAATCAAGACATGGCGCTGTTACGTGGAGCTGCAGCCCGTCACCGTCTACACCGACCATCGCCCTCTTCAACACCTAAAAACACAGCCCGTGCTCAGCCGTCGCCAAGCCCGATGGGTTGAGTTTCTGGAGCAGTTCGTCCCCTCACTTCAGATCATCTACCGTCCCGGAAAACTCAACCCAGCTGACATCTTGTCTCGACCACCACCACCAGCCCCACCACCCACCGTCCAGCCCAAACCAAAAACCAACCAGCCCCACCAAGCCCCAACCAGCCCCACCTCATCACCTCCACCTCACACTCCAAACCCACCCTTGCAACTCCATGGAACCAGCAGTATCACCTGGGATGATACCTTCATCACGAAATTTGAGCGCGCCTACAAACGTGACCTGTTTTTTGTCAAGCAAGCACCCGAGGACCCGGCCTACTCATTTGAAGACCAATTCTGGTGCAACAGTGTTACGAATACCATTTGTGTCCCTGCTGATCGCTCCTTACGGCAGCTGCTACTCTCCGAATACCATGACACCGTTACCGGCAGCCACTTTGGTGTTGAGAAGACCTACGCACGCCTCTCCAACGACTACCATTGGCCACGCATGCATGCTGATGTGCGTGACTTCATACGCACATGCCGAACCTGCCAACAACTCAAAGCACGCACCACCAACCGCTACGGACTCCTTCAACCCATCCCTCCACCTACCAAAGTGTGGGATGAAGTCACAATGGACTTCATCATGGACCTGCCCCGAACACCCCGCAGCTACAACGCCATCCTAGTCGTCGTCGACCGACTCTCCAAAATGAGCCACTTCATTCCTACCCACACAACCGTCACCGCACCCGAAACAGCCCGGCTCTTCTTCGATCACATAGTCCGCTTACACGGCCTCCCATCCGCCATCATTTCAGACCGCGACCCTCGCTTCTTGAGCAACTTTTGGCAAAGCCTCTTCAAGCTTCACGGCACAAGGCTGAAGTTTTCTACAGCGTATCACCCCGAAACGGACGGACAAACCGAACGGATGAACCGCACGCTTGAAGACGCCCTCCGTGCACAAGTTACTGCTCGCCAAACTGATTGGGATCTCCACCTCACCGCCATCGAACTCGCATACAACAGCACACCCCACCTTTCCACCGGCCAGCCACCCTTCTACCTCGCAACCGGACAGCACCCACGCCTCCCATCGACCCCACCCTCCCACCTCTCCCACGCACCAGCAGCCTTTGAGTTCCTCACTTCACTCGAATCAGCCATTGATGCCGCTCGCACCTCCATCCTTAAAGCACAAGCCAAACAGACCCACTATGCCAACTCTCACCGCAAAGATATCCGCTTCAAGGTTGATGACCAAGTACTTCTCTCCACTGATCATCTCCCTCTCCTACGCAAAGGCACAACCAGGAAACTCGCCCCTCGCTTCATTGGCCCGTTCACCATCAACCGAGTCCTCTCACCAGTCACCTACCGCCTCCAACTGCCCAGCTATATGAAGATTCACCCCGTCTTCCATGTCCAGCGCCTCCGCCCTTTCCGTGCACCTTCACACGACCGTCCAGCCGCACGCCAACTGCCACCGATGTTCGAAGGCAGCCCCGGCCTCTTTGAGGTTGCATCTATCGCTGCTCACCGTGACACACCTCATGGTCGTGAGTTCCTCGTTCATTGGAAAGATCAGCCGGCTAGTGAAGACTCATGGGAACCTGAGAGCCACCTTGACCGTGCCACAACTGCTGTGAATCGGTACTTGACCAGCCACGGTTTGGCGCCGTGGACGGCGCCACTTGGAGGGGGAAGTAATGTACCAGTGTGGCAGCCGAGTGCTGCCAAGTACAGTGCAGGTGGGCGGAAGTCAAGCGCCACCTCACCAACTGTTCGTATTGGTCAAACGCCTCAACCTGCAGCTGGGCGACCAGATCCTGACGCGCAGCCCAAGTCAATCCCACGCACGAAAAGAGTTCAGGCTTTTCCAACTTGACGAATTCACTTCAGAGATTGATGCCCCCTTGCAGTGAGTCGCTCACATTGGTTTCGTCAATGGCTAATTATGGGGAGATTTCTCAAACATCGGATGCAATGTGAGCAGACTGCAGTGAGGAAACGAACCGTAAGGTCGAGAGTCTGTGCAACCGAATTGTTGGAATCGCAGAGGACGTTTCGCAGATCAAGACCGACTTGGGACACTTGAATGACCACTCACGTATGCTTTGTTGAAGCTGTTGCTAGAACATGGACTGCCAACCTGCTAATATGCTTGACCTGTTGTCCTGCAAGTGAAGATCAAGAGGGCCGATTTCGACAGCTCATCATTCAGACGGTAGGTCTGTCCTGTGATGCTTGCGGATTGCATATTGCTGAGGCTTTTGCGCTTGGAAACAGGTGGAGTCGGCAGTTCAAAAAGGCATGACAGAGCTTCGTTCGGACATGATGAAGAACATGTCAACCATGCTGCGGAGCCAACAGCGTGTAAGAAAATTTTGTTTGACTTATCGTTTCAGGAGATGCGATAACTATGAATCTTTCAGGACTTGGAAGGCAAGGAGCTGAATATTTCACCAATGTTTGACAAGCGAGAACATCCTCAGCGCCATGTAAATGGCCATGGTCAATTGAAAAAGAGACACGAAGGGAAGATGACTGATTTTATGCAGGTAACACAGTTTTTTTCCATCCTGTTGCTATGTACCCGCCGTGCCTTGTTTCTTGCTCACACTATGTTGTTTTACAGGTGACCAAGAATCAGAACCATGAATTGATGCAATTAAGGTGGGAGGTCATTGGACTGTTTCCTTCCGTTTCATCTGATTTCCTTGTTCGCATGCCTCACTTGTGTCATTTCTGGCAGCCCCATCTGTCTGAGCAATCCTCGAAACGAGACTACCGGAGGGATGTGGCCAATGTCGTTACAGAATGATCAAAATTGGAAAACAAGTCAAGGTGACTTCATGAGTATGTTGCCGAGCCCACCAGCGCTCGAGGTAGGTTGTCCGAGCGCAGGCCATACCTCCAGTTTGGGTGATTGCTGTTGAATCTCACGTTTCTGTTTTTGCAGGATTCACTTCCTGTGGCACAATCGAGCAAGAAGAGAACTTCAAGTGCAAAGAGGAAACGGCCAACTAAGGGGAAGCAGCCCAAAATTGACGAATACACCTCGTTCCAACTTCCTGCAGATACCAAATTTCCCAACAGCCTCATGGATTCTGGTGCAGCAGATGTGGATGCCTCATTCTGCACCAAGGAAGATGAGGATGCAGTGAAGAAGATGGTGCTTAGAGCAAGGAAGAAAAGAAAAGTGAAAATCATCCTCTGTTGATTCAGAGGATGCATGAGGTTGCTCGTGAGCACCAAATGCGATCAAAGCATGCTGCTAGCATGAGGAAATTGAGACTGCAGCTGCACCTTACTGTACTTCATTATTTTCATATTTGAGTCTGTTCCTTATTTGCCATAAGTCAACCATTCTGAGTTTTAGCTCTGCTCACTAAGCTGGGTGCACTATTCTTGCAATTTATGTTTAGTGTTCCAACGTTCACTATAGAGCACTTTTCCAATAGCTATGTGCGTTATCATACCACCAGTCCAACGTCCAATATCGCAGTTGGCATCCTCCTTCCTGGCTTAGTGACACGTGGCAGACGCAGCACACCATGCCCACCGCACCAGAAGCTACGGAGACTCGAGCTTCCGTGTCGCACTCTCGCGAGGCAGCCAGAATCCTACCCCGGCTTCATGCAGGGCTCCAGCGTTAATTCCGCCTCGCGGGCCACAGCGACGCGCAAACCAGAACAATGTCGCCGCAATCGCGTGGCGACTGCGTTCTGCAGAACGGCGATGGCTGTGCGACGCGATGAGGCTGCTTGCGACCAACGGAAGGCAGTTCCCGCTCCGCGCGGTCCCAACAAGAGCGGCGGACTCAAGCTGCGTGGGTCCGCGTAGCTGGGAGGCAAGGCTGCAGGGCGGGTGGAATGCAGCAGTGGCGGCCCGGCGAAGCTAGTAACGCGCGATGGACGAGATGCTTCTCGCAAGAAACTGACGGAATGAATCTCTCATGGGATGAGAGGCGCCCTTGCACCTTGCTGAACACCTCACGTGTTGCGTCTCGTATGCGCTCGAAGTCCCGAAGGAAAGGGTTTTGCCGCGCTTAATCCTGGTCTTTCGCGTATCCTTCTTGAAAGGCAGTGCGCCCGTTCTCGACCCGGTCTCGCTTCGCCCAACAGTCAGTCCCGGCCACTCCTTACCTGCCTTCCTCCGGTGACCTTTGAGTCGACCTAAGAGTCACGCCGGGCTTTCTTTATCAGCCTCTCTCCGCTCTTTCCGCCGCGTTCGGCGGCAAGCTCCCCGCCAGCAGCCATGGCGGCGTCCCTCCTTGCGTCCACGCTCTACCTGCTCTCCTCGCTCATCTCCGCCATCCTCTTCTCCCCCCACTCTCCCCCGCTCCTCCTCGCGCTCCCGGGGGAAGTGCGCCGGATCTTCCTCCCCGCGCTTGTCCCGTCCGCAATTGACCGCGCTGGCGCCAGTAGCGGGTGGGTGTGGGGAAGGCAGCGCCTGGGTCTTCCGTCTTTCATCCTTGCAGCAGATGGCGGTGAGTCATCAGTACAGCTGGTGGTGAATCTTGGCTGCTGCGAATCTTGATCTTGATGATCAAGTACGGCTTCTGAAGTGAAGTATAGAGGGTCCTGTGTAACCTCTAGTTCTCAGATGCATTGCACAACTTGTGATGTTCCGCTTCTGGCTCTTTCCTTCAGCTAATTACGTACAGTTCTAGTCAGTCTTTGTTTTGTTATGTTTTGTTTTGTTTTGTTTTGTTTTGTTTTGTTTCCCTTTATTAATGTGTCTTGGTTTTTTTCAAGTCCTGGTTTCTGTTTTCGAACTTAAAAAAAGATTGGCTAATTTGTTGTGCGCACACACAACTAGTTTAGGCACTGCAAGGAGAGTGTCGAGAGCAGCAGGTTAAGGGACAGGCAGGCAGCACAAGAGCGTCTGGGCAGTGACTGTGTGCAAGAGGCAGTGAGCCTGGATTGGTTTTCGTTCGGTTGTAGAAAGCTGGTGTTTTGCTCAAAGGTCGTTCCTGGTAGGCAAGGCTGGCCGCGCTGCAGGTAGGCAAGATTCCGCCTTTCCACTTGTTCCAAGGTGTCTGTTTCGTTAGGAACAAGTGATTTTTTTTTTTTTTTTTTTCTCTCCTTTCTCTTCCACTCCTGTTTGTCTGAGTGAAGCGTTTGAAGTGTGGTACTTGCTTGTTTCTTATTTGTGAACACAGATTCCACTTTGTATGTCTCAAATCTGTTCCCGCTGCTTCTTTTCTGTGCTGAAAATTTCTTTCTCCTCTAGCCAAACTCGTCCTCTCCTCCATGTCCCATCTCACTCGTCTCTTTCCCCTTTCTTCGTTCCTCTATTTCCCCTCAACCGCAGCCCAGCCGTCCCTCCGCATGGTTCCACCTGCTCACTCCGACCTCCCTGCTGAGGCTCTACTGGGGAAGGCTGTATCTGGCGCCGCGCATAGCGGCCGCGGGGCAGGGGTTGTTCTCCCTTCCGTTGATGTGAGTGTTGGGGGAAAGAGGGAGGAGGAGCAGGAGCAGGCACAGGGGCAGGGGCAGGCAGAGCTGCAGCAACAGGAGGAGGGGGGGTTGGTGAGGGATGAGGAGGAGTGGAATGCGGCAGTGGAGAAAGCAGTGGAGGAGGCAGTTTCAGACGCTTTTTCCCGTGCCCAGTTCCTGCTCGCCTCACTTGATTCCATGCGCCGGGCAGCTCGGGCAGCGCAGAAAGCTTTTTCTGGCCGGAGCTTTGTTGCCCTGGTGGAGGAGGAAATGATTTTGCGTTTCGGGGGGGAGGAGGGGGAGGGTGAAGGTGTGGAAGGGATTGGTGAGGTGGAGGGGGGTGGGAAGAGGGGTGACAAGGGGTTGATGGGCATTGAGGTGGGTGTAGGGGGGAGAGTGGGTGAGGAGGCAAGACGGAGGGCGGAAGCAGTGGTAAGAACGGTGGTGGTGATGATGGGTGAGCGGGGGGGGGAGTGTGTGGAAAGCACTAGGATGGGTGCAGAATGGGAGGAAGGGGAAGGAGAGGAAGGAGAGGAGGCAGAGGAGGGAGAGGAGGAACATGAGGGGGCTAGTGATGGGGCTACTGGTAGGCGCTTCAGGTTTGCAAAGAGGCTAAAGGGATTGGGAGATACGGCACGAGACAAGGTGTGGGACATGGCGGATTCTTTTCTCTCTCGCTTGTGGGCTGCCGGGCAGAAAGTGGTCAGCACGGAAGAGTTTCTTGCTGCCCGGGCGAGGTATGCTGGTGCCCGGGTGAAAGATGCTGGACAACGTGTTTTCGATCGTGTGGTGGAGAGCGGCCGGGCAGCCAGGGAAGATGCGGAGGCTGCCCGAGATGCTGTGATCGCAACCGGTCGGGCAGCGAAAGAAAAGGTAGAGGCAGTTTGGGAAAAAGCCTATGGGGCCGGGCAGGCTGCTGTGGACACAACCGTGGGATTTTGTGCCAGGGCAGTGGAGTTCGGGCAGGAAGCAATTGACAGGTGCAAGCAGGCTGGGCAAACTGTGTGGGAGGGCGGAAGAAAAACAGTCGGAGCAGTGGAAGGGGGAGTGAAGGGCGCAGTGAAGGGAGTGAGGGAGGTGGTGGAGGGGGTAGAGGAGATGGTAGTGGACGTGAGTGAGAGAGTGAAGGGGGTGGGGAGGTGTGTGGTGGAGGAGGGGTTTCAGCCACACACTCATGGGCATGAAGAGGCAGGAGTGCCACCCACCCCTGCAGCACCCACGGCCTTCCTTGGTCCTGTGTATGACGTAGCCACAGAGGCTGTACGCATGGAGCATGGGGGGGAGGGGGAGAAGGTGGGAGAAGGGGTGGGGGAAGGTGTGGTGGGGCAGGTGGGGAGCGCAAAGGGTCGTGTGGAGGAAGGTGCGGAGAAGTTGCGGGGCGAGGCGAAGGAAGGTGCAGGGAAAATCCGAGAGAAGGTCAAGGAAGATGCTGAAAAAATCCCAGAGAAGGTGAAAGAAGGTGTGGAGCTAGCATGGGAGGAGGCGAGGGAGAGAGCTGGCAAGATGGGAGAGGAAGTGCAGGAAGGTGCTGAGAAAGTGTGGATGGAGGCAAGGGAGAAAGGTGGCAGGGTGGGAGAGCAGGTGAAGGAAGGTGCAGGAAAGGTGTGGGAAGAGGCGAGGGAAGAGGGCAGCAGGGTGGGTGGGAAGATGAGGGAGAAAGCTGAGGAGGGATGGGAAGCAGTGGAGGGCGTTGGGGAGAAGTTGAGGGAGGGGGTGATGAGGGAGGGTGGACGCGAGAGGGACGAAGGCGAGATGGGGGATGGGGTGTGGATGGAGCTGCAGGGAGTGCGGTTCTTCCAGCCTGTACGGGAGGCAGTGCGTCCTAACAAGGCAGGCGGCAAAGAGACAGCAGCAGGGGCAGCAGAGGGGGCAGAAGATGCAGAGGGAGCAGAGAAGCGGGAGCAGGGGCAGCAATGGGAGCATTGGGAGAGGGTGAACCTGCCCTTCCCCGCCAGTGCTCTCATGTCCCACCTGCCTCTCTGGTTCCAACGCCTCATGCTGCCCATCCCCCTCCTCTCCCACCTCTCCTCCCTCCCCTCCTCCCCTCCTCTCCTCGTTCCTGCTCTCATCCGCACAGCCCACCTCGCTGCTTTCTCACTCGCCTATACGCTCACTCTCGTCCTCACCTTCCTGCCCATCGGGCAGCTCCGAAATGTTTTCTCGCCTTCTCCTGCCCAGTTGGGTTCGATGGTCGAGCGGGCGGTTCTGAGGGTGCTCTTTGCCACGTCAGGGCTCTGCCTTCTCTCCCTCTCCCTCGCACACTCCCGCAATCCCCTCTCCCCCTTCCTCCCTTCTCCGTCGCCTCACCTTGGCCCTGCGCGGGGAGAAGGAGGGGAAGATGGGGAGAGTGGCGAAGGAGAGGGGGAAGCGCGGGCGGAGGGGGCAGGGGGGATGGGAGGGGGGGTGGCGGAGTGGGGGGGTGAGTTGCAGCTGTGGCTGCTGGCGGCAGCAACGGTGTTGGCAGCACTGCTGGCACTGATTCTGCAACCGCTGCTGACCAATGTGAGTGTCACATGTGAGAAAGATAGACGAAAGAATGAATGAACTAGAAAAGAGATGGGTACAAATAGGAAACACATAAGTGTTGTACCCTTTAAGAGCTACCCCACTACAGCCTAAATAGACCATAGCAGATATAAGTTTGACACACCCCCATAGGCAAAGTGGGGGAGAACAAGAGGTCACAAGACCAGTCAAGAAAAGCAACGCAAGCTCAGGGTGGATCACAAAGTCACCACACAGTCTGAGCACAAGCAATGGGCCATAAGGCCAGTTCACATGCAGAGTTATATAAAAGAAAGCAAACAGTACAGTGAACACAACCTAGCAAGTGTAAGCATGCAGGTATAAGTATATAGAGTACAGTACAAGCAGAGTCAAGAAGTCAACAAGTGAGGCATAGTAGGTACAAGGTCTAACACAGTACAGAAACGCTGATGATCACAAGTGCCTTGGTGAAAACATCAGTAGTATTGGCCTGAGTGGCCACGTACGCAAGACAAAGCTGGCCACGCTGCTGCAACTCTCGAGCAAAGAAGTAGCGCAGAGCAATGTGCTTCGTTCTGTGCTCCAGTCTGTGCTCTTGACACAAGGCCAGCATGGCCTTGTTGTCGACGTACAGAACTGGAGGAGAACGAGGCGCCTCTCCCAAGTCGGTCAGCAGGTAGGTGAGCCAGCGAAGCTCCTGTGCAGCCATGGCCCCAGCGTAGATCTCAGCCTCACAACTGGACTTGAGAACAGAAGAAGAGCGGGTAGACCGCCAGGAGACAGAACCGGAGCCAAGGCTGAAGGTGTAACCCTGTGACGACCGCTGCGTAGCCAAGTCGTCAACCCAGGAGGCGTCAGCGTGACCAGTGAGGACAACTCGAGCCCGTCCTCCAAGCACGAGCCCCATGCCCGATGTACTGCACAAGTATCGCAACACCCTCTTCGCAGCATCCCAGTGCACCTTTCGGTGCCTGCCGGGAGCCACGTAGCGAGCCAGAAGGCTGAGAGGGTATGCGAGGTCAGGTCGTGTGCAAGTCATCAGGTACATGAGGCAGCCCACAAGCTCTGGATACGGGCCACTCGGCTCTACGGACTCGTCAGAAGGTGGAGCTGAGAGTGAGTGACCGGTAGGCCGAGGAGTGGACTGTGGCGAGGAGTACGTGAAGCCGAAGCGCTGAAGGACCTGCTGCACCATGTGTGACTGAGTCAAGGTAATGGTGCACTGTGCTCTGTCCCGGGTGATCCGCAAGCCAAGATAGCTTGTCAGCTCACCCAGGTCTGTGCACGTGTGTCTCTTCTGCAGCTCGGACTTCACGTGGGCGAGTGCCTCCGTGTCAGCAGTAGCAAAGACAAGGTCGTCTACGTACACAAGAACTTAGAACGGCGGCAGAGTAGCGTCAGTGCGTAGAAACAGAGAAGGGTCAGCAGTGGAAGGAGCAAAACCAAGAGCAGCAAGAGTCGTCCTGAGCGTGTCGTGCCACTCACGGGGCGCCTGGCGGAGACCGTAGACTGGCCGCCGGAGGCTCCACTGGGTACCAGTAGGAAACGACCCAGTGAAGCCAGGTGGGCGGCGCAGCCAGATCTCCTCGTGCAGGCTGCCCTGTAGGAAGGCTGTGCTGAAGTCAAGCGAGTGGAGCTCGTAGTCACGCTGAGTAGCAACGTGCAGCAGTACCCGAAGAGTGGTCATCTTCGGGGTAGGGGAGAAGGTATGAAAGAAGTCAACTCCCTGACGCTGACTGAAGCCACGTGCAACGTAACGCGCCTTGAAGGCAGGCGGAGAACTTGGCGGCCGCTTCACCCTGAAGATCCACATGCCACTGACAATGTTCGCCCCAGGTGGGGGAACCTCGTCTACGTAGGTGCCTGTGGACTTCCAGGAAGCCATCTCTGCGTCCATGGCTGCCTGCCACTGAGAGGAGTAGGGACCCTCTATCGCCTCTGCGTAAGAGCGCGGAGTCGGGATGTCTAGTGCATCCGGGTCTCCCTCAGGGGCAAGCAGCATGGACACGAGATGAGGCGAAGCAGCAGCAAAACACTCAAGGCAGGGCCGGGGCAGAGCAGGGGCAGGGCAGGTGCAGGGCCGGGGCAGGGCAGGTGCAGGGCCGGGGCAGAGCTGGGGCAGGGCCGGGGCAGGGCCGGGGCAGGGCAGGGGCAGGGCCGGGGCAGGGCCGGGGCAGGGCAGGTGCAGGGCCGGGGCAGTACAGAAGCAGGGCCGGGGCAGTTCAGGAGCAGGGCTGGGGCAGTTCAGGAGCAGGGCTGGGGCAGTTCAGGAGCAGGACCGGGGCAGGGCCTGAAGGGGCCTCTAACGGGGCCTGACGGGGCCTTACGGGGCCTTACGCGGGGCCAAACGGGGCCTGACGGGGCCTCACGGGGCCTCTAACGGGGCCGGAAGGGGCCTTACGGGGCCTTAAACGGGGCCAAACGGGACCTGACGGGGCCTTACGGGGCCTCTAACGGGGCCTGACGGGGCCGTACGGGGCCTCTAACGGGGCCTGACGGGGCCTTACGAGGCCTCTAACGGGGCCGAAAGGGGCCTTACGGGGCCTTACACGGGGCCAAACGGGGCCTGACGGGGCCTTACGGGGCCTCTAACGGGGCCTGACGGGGCCTTACGAGGCCTCTAACGGGGCCGAAAGGGGCCTTACGGGGCCTTAAACGGGGCCAAACGAGGCCTGACGAAGCCTTACGGGGCCTCTAACGGGGCCTGACGGGGCCGTACGGGGCCTCTAACGGGGGCCTGACGGGGCCGTACGAGGCCTCTAACGGGGCCGAAAGGGGCCTTACGGGGCCTTAACGGGGCCAAACGAGGCCTGACGGGGCCTTACGGGGCCTCTAACAGGGCCTGACGGGGCCTTACGGGGCCTCTAACGGGGCCTTACGGGGCCTTACGGGGCATAACGGGGCCTTACGGGGCCTTACGTGGCGGGCGCTAGCTCTGAGGGCAGGCGCAGGGGCCGCGACGGGCCTCGAACGGAAAGCGCGACGCGCGCGTCAAGTAGGCAGTAAAAAAATTTAGTGGTGGGCCCTTTTTAAAAATTCTCAAAACTAGCTCTGATACCATGTGAGAAAGATAGACGAAAGAATGAATGAACTAGAAAAGAGATGGGTACAAATAGGAAACACATAAGTGTTGTACCCTCTAAGAGCTACCCCACTACAGCCTAAATAGACCATAGCAGATATAAGTTTGACATCACACACACACACATTGTGTTCGTCTTGCACCCCTCGCCCTAACCTCTCATATCCTACCCAAAATTGCTGTCGCGTTTTTTTTCCCCTTCGCGTTCTCGTTCCCTCCTTTCTCATCTGGTCCCCTTTCTCCCCACGCATATCAGAGCATGGACGAAGCAGCAGCGGTCGCTCGTGGCCCCTCCTCTCCGACGCCTCCCCAGAAGCGCCCCCGCTCCTCCTGGCGTCTGCGCCGCCACTATGCACTGCATGCCACCGCACCAGCAGCACCAGGAACCCCTCCACCTCCGGCTACTACTTCTGCGGAACACACCGGTGAAGCGCTTATTCCTCCTGCTGCTTCGTTTGCCGAAGCTACTGCTGCAGTCGCCTCTTCTTTCGTTGCAGAAGAAGCAGTACAAGAGCTGGCCACTGCTGTTGCTGCAAGGCCAGCACAGGAATTAGAGGGAGTTGAAGGGATGGAAAGGGAGGGGTTGGAAGGGGATGCAGGGGAGAGGATGAGTGGGCAGCAGCAGCTGCTGATGCAGCAGTCGCAGCAGCATCTGCAGTGGCGGGTGCGAGTGCTGACTGTGCTCAAGAGCGTGGCGACCCATGCCTTGCTGGCGGTGCTGACGTGGCACCTGTGGCACCTGGCGTGTCGTGTGCTCGTGTAGTGGGATGTGCTAGCGTGACGTTTACGACTCAAGTGTTACAAATACGTGTACAGTTTGTAAATGTGGGAAGAAAGGATCTGGGACTGCCGGGGTTATATCACATTCGGTCATGAACCCTTTTCCCCCCTGTGACATGTTACATGTGCTAAGCTAACATCGTAATGTTTTTTGCTTGCATGTTTTTGCTATTGTTTTTGTGATCTACATGATGGCTTTAATTGTAAAATTTAATATCACAGGCATATATAGATCACAGTACAAGCAAAGTCACGTAGTGAGCAAGTGAGGCGAAGTAGGCATAAGGCCTAACACAGTACAAAAACGCTGATGACACCAGGCGGAAGTGCCTTGGTGAATATATCAGCAGTGTTGGCCCTAGTGGCCACGTAAGCAAGACGAACCTGACCACGCTGCAGCAACTCTCGAGCAAGGAAGTAACGCAGAGCGATGTGCTTCGTTATGTGCTCCAGTCTGTGCTCCTAACACAAGGCAATCATGGCCTTGTTGTCTACGTACAGAACTGGAGAACAACGAGGCCGCTCTCCCAAGTCGGTCAGCAGGTAGGCGAGCCAGCGTAACTCCAGTGCAGCCATGGCCCCTGCGTACCGTATGGCCCCGGATATAGGCGCCGTCCGATTAAAGGCGCCGACGCTTATATCTGGAGCATGACGCTTATGGCCGAAACTCGATTATAAGCGCCCCCCTGTAAACCCTTTACTTATTATAAGCGCACATACAGTTTTAATTTGAAATCATGTTTAAAATGGTAACGATATTACTTTCTGCAGCGAGTCTTTTTTCAATTTCGCTTCGTTTGACTCGCGAAGACCTGACTGGCTGCGCGTCCAGTGGCATGATGTGTCTTTGTCTCTGTGTGTTAGCAGAATATCGCTTGCGCGCGATTCTGCTTTGTGGCGCTAAAACATTTCGCCTCGGTTGAAATGGCAAGAATAAAATGTACAATCTGGTACTCTAAATATATATATTTGTATTTGTCATTATATAAGCGCCGGCGCTTATTCCCAAAACTCATTTAGAAGCGCCTCCCTTCAAAAAATCGATTTTATTATAAGCGCACGTGCGCTACTATCCGGGGCCATACAATAGATCTCAGCCTCACAACTGGAACTGAGAACAGAAGACGAGCGGGTAGACCACCAAGAAACAGAGTTGGAGCCAAGGCTGAAAGTGTAACCCTATGACGACCACTGCGTAGCCAAGTCGTCAAACCAGGAAGCGTCTGCGTGTCCAGTGAGGACAACTCGGCCCCGTCCTCCAAGCACGAGCCCCATGCCCAATGTACAACACAAGTAGCGCAACACACTCTTAGCGGCCTCCCGGTGCTCTGGTCGGTGTCTCCCGGGCGCAACGTAGCATGCCAGGATGCTAAGAGGGTAGGCAAGGTCAGGTCAAATGCAGGTCATCGGGTACATGAGGCAACCCACAAGCTCTGGATACGGGCCACTCGGCTCTACGGCCTTGTCCGAAGGTGGAGCTAAGAGCGAGTGACCGGTAGGCAGAGGAGTGGACAGTGGCGAGGAGTACTGGAAGCCGAAGCGCTAGAGGACCTGGTGCACCATGTGTGACTGAGTCAGGGTGATGGTGCGCCGTGCTCTGTCCCGGGTGATCTGCAAGCCAAGATAGCTGCACAGTGCACTTAGGTCAGTGCAGGTGTGTCTCTTCTGCAGCTCCGACTTCACAAGGGCCAGTGCCAGTCGAAGTGTCAGTGCGCAGAAACAACGACAGGTGAGCAGTCGAAGGAGCAAACCCAAGAGCCGCAAGCGTCGTCCTCAGTGTGTCGTGCCACTCGCGAGGCGCCTGGCGGAGACCGTAGACTGGCCGCCGGACGCTCCGCTGGGTACCTGTAGGAAACGACTCGTGTCGAAAGATAGTAGGCAAAGTTTAGGTTAAGGGCCTAGGCTTAGAAGCCTAGGCCATGGGAGTCGAGGTGGTTTGTGCCAAGTCGAGAGAGTCGAGAGAGGAGAAAGAATTCACTATAGGTTTGCAAGAACATATAGCAAATGAACAAAGAAGGTGCACCACCTAACAAAGTTTATAATAACTACACTAACTACAGCTACAGGCAGTTACAGATATATTCTAACACTCCCCCATAACTGCCAGAAGCAGGAGTCTGTGCAGCGACACAACCTGGAAGGGTACACCACGAACTGAGAAAACAACAACAGCAGGCAACAGGCAAGGTTACAAAGCAGGTACAGCAGCAAAGGGGGGGGGCAGGCACTCCTGCCACCCCTTTACTCTCCTCCCCCCCCCCCCCCCCCACCTCAGAGGGACGGGGGCTGGATGTCTCACACCCGCCACTCCAATGCCACTCCCCTGGCTCCCCCACACCCTCACACCCTCCCCCCAGCGGCAGCTGCAGCAGTGGGAACGAAAGGAGGAGGAGGGGAAGGGACCATACCACCCATCACCCCCATACCCGCCACCTCCATACCCTCCCCCCCACGGCTGCAACCGCAGCAGGAAGAAGAAGGAGGAGGGGGGGGGGGGGGGGGGGTGGCGGGGAAGAAGCCGCCCCACAGCCACAGAGGGGTGGCGCACAGGGAAGGGCAGGGGCGGCTGCACCGAGGGCAGGCGCGGGTAGGGTAGGGGCAGTTGCACCGAGTGCAGGCGCATGTGAGGCACAGGCGGCTGCACCGAGTGCAGGCGCTGGTGATGAAGAGGCGGCTGCACCGAGTGCAGGCGCATGTGAGGCTGGGGCGGCTGCTCGAAGGTAGGCGCGAGGTGAAGCAAAGGCGCCGTCGCGGGCGCCAGGGGCGGATCCGCAGCGGCCCAGGGCACCGTCGCGGGCACCAGGGGCGGGTCCGCGGCGGCTCAGGCCACCGTCACGGGCGCCAGGGGCGGGTCCGCGGCGGCGCAAGGCACCGTCGCGGGCGCCAAGGGCGGGTCCGCGGCGGCTCAGGGCACCGTCGCGGGCGCCAGAGGCGGGTCCGCGGCGGCGCAAGGCACCGTCGCGGGCGCTAGGGGCGGGTCCGCGGCGGATCAGGGCACCGTCGCGCGCCACGGGGCGCACGACGGTCAGGCAGGCAGGCAGGCAGGCAGGCAGACGCCGCGCGCCCGGGGCGCACGGCGGGCAGAAAACCGCCGTGCGCCCCGAGCACACGGCGGGCAGAAAATCGCCGCGCGCCCTAGGCGCGCGGCAGGACGACACGTAGCGGAAGCAAAATGGTGGGCCCGTTAAGGAAGGCAGCAGGAAGGTTCCTGCTCTGAATACCATGTCGAAAGATAGTAGGCAAAGTTTAGGTTAAGGGCCTAGGCTTAGAAGCCTAGGCCATGGGAGTCGAGGTGGTTTGTGCCAAGTCGAGAGAGTCGAGAGAGGAGAATGAATTCACTATAAGTTTGCAAGAACATATAGCAAATGAACAAAGAAGGTGCACCACCTAACAAAGTTTATAATAACTACACTAACTACAGCTACAGGCAGTTACAGATATATTCTAACAACCCGGTGAAGCCAGGTGGGCGGCGCAGCAAGATCTCCTCGTGCAGGCTGCCCTGTAGGAAGGCTGTGTTGAAGTCAAGAGAGTGTAGCTCATAGTCAGGCTGAGCGACGACGAGCAGCAGAACCCGAAGAGTGGTCATCTTCGGGGTAGGGGAGAAGGTATGGAAGAAGCCAACTCCCTGTCGCTGGCTGAAGCCTCGTGCAACGTAACGAGCCTTGAAGACAGGCGGAGAACCCGGTGGCCGCTTCACCCTGAAAATCCACATGTCATCGACTATGTTCGCCCCAGAAGGGGGAACTACGTCGACCTAAGTGCCTGTGGACTTCTAGGAAGCCATCTCTGCGTCCATGGCTGTCTGCCACTAAGATGAGTAGGGACCCGTAATCGCCTCTGTGTAAAAGCACGAGGTCGGGATGTCTGGTGCATCCGGGTCTCCCTCACGTGCAAGCAGCATGACAACGAGATGAGGTACAGCAGCTGCAAGACACTCAAAATCCTCCTGCCTGTCCTCAAGGACGTCCGTGCCAAGAGCAAACTCACCCCCGACGGATAGAGGACAGTCAGACTCAGACTCAGCAACAATACTAGTGGCGTAGTCGAGACGACAGGCGGCAGCAAAGTCAACAAGCTTAGCAACTAGGGCAGACGCAGCAGTGGACTCAAACTTAAGGGTCAGTGACAACAGTGGCTAGAAGACGAGGGATAGTAGGACTGGCAGCACGAGCTAAGTCAGACTCGGCAGGAAGAGAGGACGCCGGAGGAGGCGGCAGAGGAACTCGCAGTGGAACAGAGGAAGGACGAAGTGCCATAATGTGAGTGCTGGGGACAGGAGGAGGACGCGGACGAGGAACACGACGACCAGTGCGAACAGCGCGAACAGGCGAGGCACGACGAGACTCTGGCTCACGACGCTTTGTAATAGAGTCTGTTTGCTCAGCGTAAGGAGAAGGAGCAGGCAGTGGGGAGTCTGGCTGTAACTGTGGCTGCCACTGGTGAGGTGGTGGACTCAGTAAGCTAGGAGGAAGGCCAGTAGAAGACGGGAGACTAAGAACCTGGCGAATGACCGAGTCAGGTGGCGGCAGAGACGACGGCTGCGGCGGAACGAAAAACGGGCGCCGCTGCACAGTGCCTCCAACACCAGGACCGCCAACTCTAGCACCCCCAGCGCCAGCACCTCCAGCTCTAGGGTCTCCATCTCCAGTGCCTCCAACTCCAGCGCCTCCAGCGCCAGTGCCTCCAGCGCCAGGGTCTCCAGCTCCAGCTCCTCCAGCTCCAGCGCCACCAGCGCCAGTGCCTCCAGCGCCAGGGTCTCCAGCTCCAGCGTCTCCAGCTCCAACTCATCCAGCTCCAGTGCCTCCAGCCCTAGGGTCTCCAGCTCCAGCACCTCCAACACCACCAGCTCCGGCAACTCCAGTACCTCCAGTACGAGCACCTCCAGGACCAGCAGCTCCAGAACCTCCGGTACCTCCAGCTCCAGCTATAACTCCAGCACCTCCCGAACTAGAATCTCCAGCACCTCCTGCTCCAGTGTCT